TGTCTAATTGATGATTCATCATTAAAAAAAAAAGATTGACATCTCGTTACATAATGTTTAACCTCTTCGAAAAACATAAACATAAATTTCACAGATTGAAATCATGAGTCAGTTGAAGCTAGACCACCATGGAAAACCTAGAGGCACTGGACGGCCGTTTCGTCCTAGTATGGGACTCCTCAGCGGTGAGCATTCACGATCCCGCACCCAGCGGGATTCGAACCCAGGGCCTACTGGTTTCGCGCGCGAGCACTTACCATTAGACCACTGAGCCGACATCCAACATAAATGTATATCTAACGTAATTCGACTTAAGGTCTATAAATTGAAATATCATCAAGGCGATATAATGATTTGTTGTTTCCATTCAATCTTTCGAGAGATAAGTAAATGATTTAATTATTTGAAAAATAAATATTTCACATCAATCTTTCTGAAAATCGGAATCACTTGGCTACTTGTGTGTGTGTGTGTGTGACTGGATATGACAAATTAAATGGGTAAAACTTTAGTTATTTAAAATATTGATTAACTTAAAGACATATAAAGCATTAGACACTAGCTTAGTTGTCCATATTTTAAGCACTTGTGAAGGGACCTGAAAATCATGTGTTCAGTCCTTGGTGAAATCGTGGATGAGCGACTCTAGAGAGTGCAATATCAAGACAAAATAAGTGTTTAATGCCCCATGGCTTTCAGTGGTTGTCTAAATTAAGTCAGCTGATGGTGTTAACTATCAAATTTAATGATTTCCACAAATTCTTTATATTAGACACCTGATCCAATTATTAAGTAGATCTAATCCCGTATAACGTGAATTTGATCGTATGGTAGTGTTCTTCATAAAATAATGAACATGTTAACATGAAGTGAGTATAGTTTTTAGATCAAAGGAAGATACTTGATACGACTGATCATGAGCAGCATTGAACACGTGAATTAGACATAAAATTAGAGAACAAGAAATCTAAACAATGTGGAAGGTGTTTATTCACCAAAAAATACCTTAATTCGTGTCATTCATCAAATTTTAATCTTAGTTAACTGACTGATCGCTCATTGGATAGTAATTACTTCCGCGTTTGTTTGGTCCTTGGGTTTTAACAAAGTTTGATCGATCAATTTTTAATTTCCCTACCACTTTTCGTAACTCAGCATCATCCACTATATGCTTAGATCTCAGGTGGTTACATACACTCATCAGAACGACTTACTTGACCAATGTAGATATGTAGATAAGCATATATGCTTAAAGACTTCTTAAACTACGGTAAATGTGTGAACAGTTCATTATGATTCCTACCAGTTATCATATAATTTTACTATATACTGAAAAGTCATCCTATTACATACTTCAATACACAAAATGTTAGAGATTGTGGGCTTTGCGCCCTATTATTACATAACGTAATGATACCACCAATAAGGGAACAGTAAATTTTTGATCGAACCAATGAAGCATAAACCCGTACGAGCAGTCTAAAATTCTTATCGGTCCTGCTTCCTACCTAGCACTGCTTGCCTATTGAGTTCAGAACACTAATCTCAGTCTCTGAGATATGAATCATGTATTTCAAACATACTGGGTTTATATGCAAACCAAACCGACCACAGTGTACCACAAAATAGAAAACAACATTTGTACAAGATTTAGTCGAAAGTGTCTGTGAATGTGAGAGAGTGTAATTAATAGACTGTGTATAACTCAAGAACGGTGAATCGTATAATACTGGTCTGTAGATCAAGATAAAGCTTATAGTATGAAAAACATGACTATGTGTAGTTTAGTTTGCTGACAATTATACAGTAAGAAAATATATGTATCATATTTGTCCATAAACAGATCGGATTAGTTACCATTCAAGATAATATCCACAACTTTATATTGATAAATAACAAGTGCTCACTAGTGGCTAGCTTCGTGAGAGAATTCTCGGAGTTTTAATGAAAAGCCGTAACCAATGGAGCTAATCCATGTCGTGTAGAGACAGGTATCAACAATGGAAGATGTTCCCTAATTTGGCGGATTGGTTGAGATTAAATAATGACACCGTTGATTGCTGACTTAGTAATCTAGAGGTTAAACGTTCACACGCGAAACCGAAGACCATGGGTTCAAATCCCGCGAGCAGGATCGTGGATGCGCACTGTTGAGGAGTCCCGCAATGGGACGAAACAGCCATCCAATGCTTTCAGGTTTTCAATAGTGGTCTAACATTAATCGGTTCATGATCTCAATCAAAAACTTAATAATCTTTACAATCCTATACTGACAAAATATCTCCAGTAATAAATTTGCTCAAATTGTTCGATCTAGTTTTACACAACATTTCATAAGAATTTACACTATTAAAATTGCAATCAATAGTCTGTTTATATAAAAAGTTTTACAAAACAAATATAAACAAGGTAAACATTTAAGTTAATATGCTTGTTTTTCCCTTTTCATACTTTAATAATGGATAAATTATATTTTATTGCATATGGTAACTAAGTTATGTGTATCCAACATCTAACTGAACATTCTAATGTTATAAATCTAATCCGATCATAAATTAGATTAAGTATATCAGATTATCCACAAAATAAACAAACAAACTAACAAGTAAATAAACAAGAATCTACAAAAAAATATACATCAACATAATGTACTTCATACAAAAGGAACGACAATAACAACAACAAGACGAAGAACTAACTTACTTGATTCAAATAATCAAATAATATTCAAATATACAATGTCACTATTAAACTAAATTCCATGAAATGAATATTCAACAAGATCCTTTATTTTCGTTTTTAAGATTTTTTTTGTAAAAATGGAACATTTCCAAACTACCGTTTTTTATTCATTCACTTAAATTCAGATATTACATAGCAACTATTAACTATAAGTAATATAAAATAAAAAAAAATTGATTTAGTGAAGAGAAGAAAAACAGTTTGTTTATATAGTGTTTTTGTTGTTGTTGTTGTGTGGTTGAGAGAAACACACACACACACGCACAAGAAAAAAAATAATGTGCATCATTATGTATAATGTGTGTAAGCTATATTGATTTTTAAAAAAGGGGGCTCGTAAATTGCGAGAGG